TGCAACAAAATACTTTGCTACTATCACAGATAGAACATAGTCCTAAATGCAACGTTTTTATTGTTCCGTGTTTGTTGAGCTAGGAACAATTGAAAACTTGTCACCCCAAATATGCTGGTAAATAATTAGTTAGGTCGACAATGGATCATTGTACGTATATTAAAGTATAACTTTGTCCGAAAGTCTAACAAAATTATCTATTGATGAAGTGTTTAAGTAGCTTTTGTAAATTAAACAAACAATAGGAAATTTAATGTGATTACAAAGTAACTTAAATGAGATAACAACAAGTACTATGCGCGCAGGACAATGTTGAGGTGGTAAGGGGGTGGCAAGCGAGTGAGTGAGAGACATGTGATGTGTCATGTGAGCCAGTCTCGGCTTGGCGTTGCTTTCGCTACGTAAAATTAATCAAATAAAGACAATAATAACATAAAACCGTGCAAATTCTAATTGTGGTGGTACATAACTATATCTAGTATATTTTTATGTGTAAAAGTGTTTCTCGAAATGATGGCGGAATTAGAAGAATTCCTCAATGACGCAAAGTTGGGTCATTTTGTTAGCCGATAATCGGTAAGTTTGTTTTTTGTTTGCTTTTAGTAATGCTTACGTTTACAACTGTTAACTACCTCTCAATGTAAATGTAAAGCATGGGTGATTAGAAAGTTACGCAAATAGAGTATTTCAAGAGAAACTTCCGCTTATAAGAACAACACTATTGGAACTTCTGGCAGAGAAAGCAAGCTCTGCTAGACCTGATCAAACTAGTCTTAAATCTTCTCGATTTAGCTACACGCGTGATTCCGTTACCGTGGGAATATCGAGATAAAATATAGCCCATGTTAATCAGTAATAAGATAATGTAGCATTCTATATCGAAACTTCTTTTTTTTTCAGTCGGAGAAGAGCAAGCTTCATTAGCAGCATTCTTGACAATCGTCTTTAAGTCAAGTGCCACCGATTTGTATACCACGAAACCTTCCAAGGAAGAAGTTCATTCAAGTTTCATCGGACATGTCGTCACAGCTTCAGGCGTTGATAGATATTGCGCCGAAGGGAGTCATTAGTAGTGACAAAAGGTATTCCTGAACAACCATACATTGTTGCTGACGATTCTTTTTTTTATCGTTGTTCCACAATACGATATTCTCCTGTGTCGTGGGTGCGTTTACAATTCTTGGGCCAATATAATTCATTACGTTCTATATTTTGTTATTTACCGAAGTACCTAGGTGTAAGTACTAATAATTCTAAATCGTTAAGTATAGTAAGTAGTTAAGTATAGTATGTCAAGCATATTAAGCTCGACAGGCTGTACTTGGTCGTCTGATGTAACTATTGCTAATTTTAAGTTTGTATTTACTTTGTTGTGGTACCTACGTGCAATACAATCATCAAAATCATATTGTTTTTTATTACAATTTCTAAATCCTATATTACTATTCTCGTTTTGGTACCGTAACAAAGGTAGTTTGTCCCTCTCAATGTTATGTTTATATCGTTTAACAACAGGAACCAATAATCAGTCACCGTATTTCCAAATTAAAGTCCCGGACATCGGTCCATGTTGTACAGCGTGCAAATGACAAATAGGATTACTCCATAATTCAAAGTTTACTGAAATCTCATCTCATTCATAGGGAAAACAAAGTTAATACGCTGGATAACCCCTTAAAATATAATTTTGCACCCTATACAGCACGAACCAATGTCCAGAGGTCCTAACTATCTGGATATTGGTATATTTTTTTCGCGTGGGTCTTTCACAAGTTAATATAATTGGAAATACGGAGCTTTGAGTAATTGGTTCCTGTTGTGTTTACGATAGTAACGTAAGATTGAGAGCGACAAACTATCTTTGTTATAGTAGCAAGGCGAAAAATGCCAGGGTAACAAAGGCAAATTAGCTACAGGAACAAAGTAGCTTTGCTGGGGAAGCAAAAGGCAAGTAGTTAAAGTAAACAAATAACTTTGTTATGGTCGCAAAAGTATAGTACAGGTAACAAAGGCAAAATACATATTATTGCAAAGGACAATTGTCGGAGTAACAAAATTATTGTGTCATCACAACCAAGTACACTTTAATTTAATTTGTTATGCTGACAATATTGAATTGTTGTAGTATCATAGCATGCTATTGTTAGAAGATATTGCTACACTGACAATTTCCTACTTAACAATAAAACCATTGCCGAAGAGACTATTTACTATGGGCGGCTACCCAGCGTTAAAGTTTTATTGTCGTATTTAACAATATTTTTTTCTGAGTGTATAGTGGTCTGATGGCTCCTTGAGGCGTGGTCTTATCCATCAACTAAATACCTAAGTGGTGGCTGTTGGTCGCACATCATCAAAATCTGTTTAGAGCTTTTTCGATCTCGTCTAAGAGCCGATTTTACCAACGCCAGATAAATTTTAACTGAGGCATAACGTTGAATATTTGACAATTCTTCCAAACTAGAAACTATCAATTTTATTCTCCAGTTAAGATTTAACTGATCGGCCCTAAGAAGTTTATAATATCAAATAGATACGATAAATCTATAGGTATCTATCTATAGGGGTAAGTCCCGTAACGCCGGACGGCACCTAACGCCGGACATTTGTATTATATCGATAACTGATAACACGAGCAATTCAATTTTTACTAAAAATCTTAGGTGTCTGCCACTGGGGGAACTCCCCGTAAAAATTGAATCGCTCGCGTTATTAGGTATCGAGATAATACAAGTGTCTGGCGTTAGATGCCGTCTGGCGTTAAGGGACTTGCCCCTACATATAATAAAATCGTAAGAATGTCAGAATTATACATCGAATATTTTTTAAAAGAATGCTTTGAGCGTGATCTGCAGTCGATACCGAAGCCAAAAATATATTTTTTAGAATTTTTGTCTGTTTGTCTGTATGCATGACCGGGATGAACTCAAAAAGTGCTGCATGGATTTATTTCAAAATTTTGCATGAATATTACTAACAGGTCGGGTCAACATATAGGCTACATATTATCACGCTAACACCAGCGGGGGAGGAGCTGTTAATCACTATTTCACTCGAACGAAGTCGCGGACAACAGCTAGTTAATTATATTTTACATAAAAACAACCCTTTTCTCAATGGATTGTTTGTTGTATAATTTTAACATAAC